GGGGGGGGGAGGGGGGGGGGGTTTAGTAATCAAAACCACACATTACTACTCTTACCGCGGCTAGCGCTGCTGTTAAACCCTCGCTCAGGCGGAGTCGGCCCCGACACTCTGCAAGAACTAGATACTAAAGGAGCCATACTTTGTTCGGTGCTGACACACACACACGCACACGCATCCTGGTCAGACGGTTCTAGTCCCACAACGAACCCTCCTGAACTCCGTATAGACATCTGGCATCGTCCTTTCAGTAGCCTTGTACCACACTCCGGATAACATTGGGAGTCTACTAATCCGCATGAGTGATGCCACCAAACCCCCGAGCCGGTTTGTTCTTGGGCTCTTGCAAGCCGGTCATATCAGTCATATCACAATGAGGGTGTACGGGCGCAGGCATTCTGAGAATCGCTGACAAGTGTCGCAGAGCCTTCTGAAGCGTCCGAATTCTGACGCGGAAACTCATCATCCCCGGCTGGAAACACCTCAGGCGCTCGGCATGATGTAAGAAAAGTCTTTTGTGATGCTGCCCCCTGTATTCTGTCGGTATACAACTGCGCTGATCCTTATTCCTGGCCATACTGAATTGGTATAATGAGTCTTTGCACTATGGTGCTTAGGGCCTGCTGCAGAGTTTGGCTCGCGCACAATGCAACACCTTCCGCCCTCGACACAGCGAATACAAGCCATATAAGCTTGTTGACAGAAGCTGCCTGATGCCTCTCGGATCTGTTGTGGTCTGGTCGGGGAAGAGGTTACGAGCTGCTCTGACACGGTCCGAGGAAAGGCCGCTCGAATCAGAAACGTGACATGTACGACTTCACTTCCGAGCTCGTCGCATCCTGTGTGCTGACACCAGTAATGGCCTCTGCTGCCAGTCGTGCACCTTAGAGGTCGGCGACTTTAAAGAAAGCTCGCCGCTAGAGCTCCTAAGATCACGCGGGTCCTCATCCCCCGAAACAGGTCGGGTATACTTGAGTTTGGCGTCGGCTTCCGTTGCTTCATGATCGCAGCCGCTCTTCACCGAGAGCTTAGTAGACAAGGGACTCTCCCTCCCCCGTCGTTTCGTATAAACCGGAAAGTTGCAGTCAACACGACGGCTGCAACGAATGGTCCCACCGCTGAGAATCAGGCGACAGGCACGAAGCACACTCTCTTCCTTAGCCACTGCTAGCCGCTGAACTACTGCAGTGAGCAGCCTCCTACAAAGCCCAACAGGAAGCCAAAGCCCAGATCAAGGAAGGCGATAGTGCCATGCCTTTAACTTTTGCTCCTCGAAGCTAGAGGACTGCAAGGCCAGGTGCTCAGGAAACAAAGTGTACGCTAGACCTGGAATTAGAGGAGACCCTGCGTGCAAGGGCTGCTAGTCAAGACGGCCATTGCTTCTATCCCCGTATTGGTCATATTGCCCTGCTACAATAGGAAATAGAAATGGCACAGTAAGATCTGTCAGTTCTGCCAAGGGAGACCAGGGTCGATTTCGCAGTCGAGGCCCCGGAACTGTGTCCCAAGACTCCACGAAGACAAAGCGATGCCACAACATGGGGTGGGCTTCTTCGAAAAGTCGGTGTGCCCTACCTGGGGTCCCTTGTAGGAGGGATCTGAAGCTTTTGCAACATGCGACTAGCACTCCAAGCACAAGGTAATCTGGCTTTTAGGTCGTCTCCAAACCTAAGGTCCGAAGCGTCAGGGAGGTCAAGAGACGACACCAGTCTCGAGGACCCTCAGCGGTCACTATCTGAACATCGGCGAAAGTAAGTTTAGAACCCAGCTGCGCTGAGCTGCTACAAAATCCGCCTCATGTGCGGGTACGCTTTGTTCGATCACCGGCTGATTCATTTGCACTGGCACACTGTCGAGGAAGAGACGAACAGAATGCAGTTCGCGCAAACAAGTGAGCATCCTCACATTGTCATGCATCAGGGGGTCTCTGTGACATACAGCAATCAGTGCCCCCATGCTTCCACCCTTTGGCAATACTTTATTAAGGAGCCGAGCTTCGAGAGCTGCGAAGGAATTGAGCAGGGCCACATCCCAGGCTGCACGCTGTTGATCTGCGAGCTTCCTGGCTGAAGCATGAGCGTGCGTGCCAATGTGACCATTTGGGATATCCCAGTTTAAACTCCTCAAATGCCAAGTCTGGATCCATTCCCACTTCTCACAGCTCCAGGGACGTAAGGAAGGGTTCACGCAAAATGAGGCCTCTTCCATGCTTTGGATGCTTCAGAACGCAAGGACAGCAAAATGGTGCAAACCCAACAGCGTGCACAAATCCGTGTGCAATGCATGCTCGTCGGATTTGGACAAATCCTTCGATGCATGCCTGTGCCACAAGGACTCTAACAAGCTTCTAGCCCTGCCTTTTTTGTCGCCGTATAGGGTTTTTAACATGCTCAGGTTGTTGCGGTTTGTTGGCTCTCACATTGTACCTAATGACTTAGTGGTTCATGGTTTAGACTCCAGATGTCTTGCCCGCACCGCAAGCTCTTTAACAACGCGCTGGACTACGAGGCTTGAGAAGCCGGATCGACACTTCCACTCCAAGCGTCTGCAACTTGCGCTGCTGCTCGCCGAAGGCTTTAAAAAGCTCCTTGTGGTCAGTGGTAGCATTCTTCAGAGATTCTGCTGTTCTGAAGGTAAGAGGCAGGATTGGCTGCGTGCTTGGGCCGCGAGACAACACTTTCCTTGATCCATTTAAAGCGAACCGGAACTCCGTTTAAAGTTTAAAGCGAGCCCGAACTTTCCGTTTGTGATTCTTTATGGAGCTTCTGAAGGCTGGGTTGAAGTGTTTACGGGTGGAGGTGTTCCGTTTCCCACTGAGGGGTAGATGATCCAAGGTTCTAGGCTTCATAGTTTGCATTCCACGCCTTTCCATGTCGAGTTCAAGCATTCAGGTTTGGGGTGCAGGTTTCCATGCTGTGGAGGTTCAAGGCTGTCGGTGAAAGCTATTGCCGCTTGGGTCTTCTTGGCGCCGACCCTTCGGAGAGCTTGGCTAAAGTCCTGTGTGGGCTCGTCCACCTTTACTGGCTGCTCGGGGTCTGCCATGGCACCACCGGAGAAGGCCGAATCGGCTGGATTTTCCCAGCCTGTGCCTAGACTGTCGCACTGTTGGCTGTAGACAGAGTAGTCTAGTCAGTCTAGTCTAGACGTCTTTGGGTGACTTCCATAGGCCCTTGGCACGTCTATATGGGGTGCAACTCTAAGCCAGCTGCAGCTGTCATCAAGCAGGTTCGAGGAAGTCTCGGGCAGGACAAGCTTGAGGCAAGAAACCAGTAATGAAACAATGGGGGGGAAGGAAAGGCGACAAAGGACATACTAGGAGCACCGACCACAACGAGTTCAGACAAAGAAGGAACGCAAAGGTAAAAGCACTTAGCAAAGAAAGGGGAGGTTGAGAGACAGAAAGATAACATGGGGGCCTACATCATTGCCAATGCTATTTTATGACTCCTTAATGTAATCATATTGCGATATACCTCAAAACCCTACAGTAATTATTTCGACTCGAGGGCCCCTGTATTACAGCATGCCCTCACGAGACACACGGCAGGCTTCACTCTTCCGGACAAGCCGACAACGTCTAGCACCTCTGTATAGAAAATGAGATGCAGGACGTCTCCGTCAAGTTTAAACCTTTAAACCACTAAAAGAAGACATGACCCAGATGACTGCACTTCCCGAGTCAGAAAAAACTGTTGCGAAAGAGATACATGGACGGGCTCGCACATTGCAGTGAGATGGATATCTTGGCTACCGGGCATGTGCAGATGTCCGTTCATCAAAGCAGGCTGCGTCTACTAATTGCCAATTCAACAACCAGGAACCGGGGACCTGGTCGTGTTTGCGGCTAGAGATCCCAGAGATCCTTGGGTTCGGTCTGATCACTTTGTGATCTACCTATGGCGTTTTATTGCAAACTCCTTGCTATTAATCATCCATGCTTGAGGGGTAATGCCAACTTCTTGTAGCGCCAGAATCTGTTTGAGTAAAACCGTACAAGAGATGCGGCGTTAATTTCCTGAGGGAGTTCACTAGTGCAAATACACCCAGCACTGTAGTTGCTCGATTGGGCTTGGAGTACTTGCTTCGGCTCATGATAGCTCGAGTTCACGTCGGCTCGCTACGCGGGTCCTTTCCTTCCTGCATGTGGGGAGTGATGTGGTCAGGAAAACGAGTCAGAGATTACTGCCAACTCCGACTGGTGAGGCCTGGCCAAACCTTGCACAAAGCCTCGGCTCAAAAATGTGAACTCCATGACCGCCTTCGCGACGCATGGGCATACAACAAGCTTCATCGAAGTTCGTCGATTCCCTGCAGCTGCACGCGATGATGCAGCGCGTGCTTCCGTCTGAATATCCAACCAGGCACTTAGGGATCTACCGGAAACATGCTAGCGCATGCTGCAGTTGCAGGGAGTTGGATTCACATTAGGGTGAAAATGAACACGTGCCCAACAGGGTACGGGAACAGTAGGGTCCAGTTGAGAGTTTGCAACTTCTTGGAAGTTCTTTCCCCCAACGTGAGATTTCCGTCCAAACGACTTTCAGCATGATCTCGGCATCACAGACCACATGCGACACTCCGTCACGAATTGTTGGCGGCCGGTGCAAACTTGACCTCTGCGACATCCAGACTGCGCATGAAATAACTGGGTCATCGTGCAAGGCTACAAAATCTGCTGTGTATACGGAAACTATAGGACTATATAGCCTATTACTACTTCAAGCGTCTAAAATAAAAAATATAAATAAATAAATAAATATATATATATTTATTTATTTATTTATTTATTTAGCACTCGCGCTCGACGAATCAGGCGAGGTGTAGGGGAATGATTATATATATATATATATACACACATATACATTATATATATATATATGTATATATAAATAAATTATAAGCTCCAAAGCAGGTGTAGCCTCGGACTGGGGGTCGATGCGGAAGACCTTCAGGTTGGCACGGTTCTTCGATCCTTCGGCCTGTGACTTCGATCGGATGAGCTTGGAATCTTTCATCTGCCTGATGAGCTTGGTCACCTGAAGCGGGGCTTTGCATTGGGCTCTGCAGCCTCAGCTATGTGTTTCAGAGCCAGTTGAGAACAATGACGTGTGCACGAGCAATCCTCGCTCTCCATTCCGTATTCCGAACTATCGCCATCGCGCGCGCTGTCTTGAGCCTGAGAGACGGTGCACGATCGATATTTTCTGTGTGTGTGTGTGCGCATCGGTTACTCCGCGGTCGAATTTGAACACGTCTTGGGGTACCAGTTTGCTATGCAACGCATTTGCGCAGATTGCCCGTCGTCTTTCAGCGGTTTCCTTATTGCTGCACCTCTTGTACTCTGCCACTAGAAGCATCTTTCCATCTTCCGACACTCTTAACTTCGCGACAGGGTAGCACGTCTTTACCTCAGCCCAGCCCTGCTCTGCCCCGAAAAGTTTGGCGCCCCAAGCCTTGCATGTATTAACTCCACATGGGAAGCATGTAATACACACAATGCAGAAGGCACCATGTTCGTTGGGTTGCTGTTGCCCCGCTGCTCGAAGCCTCATGCGGCCCATGTAGATTCTAGAAACTCGGCTAAGAAGCTGCGCCTTGTTGTCCAGTTGCTTCACATCAGACTGCAAGGCGACCGTGTCGATGGCGCGAGCGGGGCCTTTGCACCGCATAATTCCATCCTCGGTCAACAATGGATCGTCAGGACATTCATGTAAACGTCATATCAACTGTGTCGAACGACGCAATGCTTCCAAGATGCGATAAACTCGTCGAGCGTAACTTCGCCATCTCCTAAGCCGGAGAGTCCACGCGCTGCGAAAGTTTTAACTGTCGGATTTGAAGCACGTTGTATATTAACCCAAAAACTTGAAAGCTCCATGTGATCAACTGCTAAGTCTCCGTTATCAAGGAGGTGGAAAAGAGCCGTCCCTTCTTGCACGTCAACCTCAAGAGTCTGAAAGTAGGCTTTTACCTTCGGATTCGCGAGCATATGGTTCAGGACCTGCTCGGAGAGGGTGCCACGGCCAGTAACATCGAGTGTCTTGAACACGCCCTCCAAGCGTTCGACGTACTCGGCTTTTTTCCGAATCCGATCCAGAACAAGATGCTGTGCATCATTGTGTGCCTCGTCTAGAGTATCCTTCAAGAATATGGCAGATATTACACGTATCACAGCGAAGACTATGATAGTGATATAGAGCAAATAGAAGATCACGAAGGCGTGGCTGACCCTCTCCAGCACTGGACGTGCATTCGTGGGCCAGTTCCTCAGCCCACAAACATTGAATGAATACAAGATAAAGACACATATGTATATATATATATACACACATAAGAGTATAATCTATCATGCAATATTCTGATATGATACGATATGATATGATATAAAACGCTATGTAAAGATACACGAAAATATAATTATACACTATAATATGACATAATTAAATACTTACCGGCTAGCACTTGGAATTTTTAAATACTTACCGGCTAGCACTTGGAATTTAAAAAAGAAATGACATGGAAAAATTTTTAACATTTTGAAGACCACTCCCGGACGCCCCTGTTATTCCAAGTGATTGGGCATGCAATAAAACCAGGTAACCACTTGGAACATAAATATGTTGGAATAAACAATATGCATGAAAGAATGTATAAATGAATGAATAAATGCATAAATAAATAAATGAATAAATGACTAAACAAATAAATGAGAGAGACATCGAACCGCAAGTGCCACGAGTACTACAACGTCTCCCTTTCAGCACGGAGCATAGTGCCACGAGTACTACAACGTCTCCCTTTCAGCACAGAGCATAGACTTAGAATATGTGTATAGGCAAAAACGCGGATAAACTGATGCATGAGTAGACAGTAGTAGTAGTAGTAGTAGTAGTAGTAATATATAGTGGGTTGAAAAGCTAGAGCTCGCTGTCGGCAGCTTTGGGGTAGGACTCGAAATGGAGTCCTTAGCTGAGAGCCAAAGCTCTGGTCCTCCACTGCGCCACCACCATTCGGAGGAAAAGGCGCCGAAGAAAACAACGCAGACCAGCCAGGGGCAGTAGCACGCAGCGAATCCTCAGCTGAGAGCCGAAGCCCTAGGCACCTAAGCGGTCCTTTGCGGCAGGAGCGAACGCCCCATGGGAGCTGCACGAAACAGTTCGTCAGCACACTGTCCTACTGAAGCATGTGTCAGGGCTGGCTTCATGCCTGGTCTTCCACAGTCTTTCAGCAGTCCTGGCCATGTGTGCTGGCACGAGAGCAGGGTCAGGATTCTGGGGGAAAGCTTTTCAAGATCCACTGAACGCCTTTCTTAACTTGCCACTTCCTAGCACATCCTTCCACCCCCTCAAGGGAACAAAGACGAGACTTCAACGCCTTCTTCTAGGAACCCCTTGAGCCTGAACTGTGAGGGCTCGAGGCTCTGGGGCCTCATCACCGGCAGCACGCAAGATGCCAAGACCCTTGCCGATGAGATAGTTGAGGCCTCGCCCTCTAGCAGCAGCAGTAGCAACGGCTGACCTGAAGTAGGTTTCATCATCCTGTTCGCGTTTGGGTAGCCATCTCATGGCTTCTCCCGGGCGATCGGTGACCTGAGTCTGGGTGATGATGAGACCTTTCCCACCACTCTTGCGCACGAGAGCATCCGCGAGAGCCTGCTGGACACGCAGGTGGCCAGCGAGGTGATGGCCTCCCACTTCCAAATCCGTCCCGTCAGCTGAGAGACTTGGCAAAGCTTCCACTTGCCGATTTCCGACAGAACATCAGTGATCGTATCCCACCGATCATCATTCCTGAACATGATTCTGAAGTGGCAAGGAGCTGAAATCCTGATCGTGGCGACTTTTACCTTTGAGGCTTGTCTGGCCCACGCCGCGGCGTGAGTGCCTCCTAAGACTACGACAGTAGAGTCCTGAAGTGTGTCAGGGCCGGCACCGCGCTTCAAAGACACCTTGGCATTGTACCCACCCAAAGACTTGCAGTCTGAGGGTCATACCTGGTGGCAGGCCTTCAGTTCTCTAGCTGCGGCTTCAGATTTTACGACCGTGATGTTTCCGTCAATGTCGTTCCCTTGCTCAACTGCCTTCAACACAGCAGCTTTGGCCACAAGTTTGACGCGCCCCCGACTGGTGCGGAGGGAGCTGGGGAAACACATGCCACATCGAGGCAAATTTCTTGCCTTTCTGTGCTCAGTGACATGTCACACGAAGAGGGCTATTTTCTTCCCTCTAAAGTCCCTTTTGAAGGCGATCGGTTTATGCGAGAAACAACGCCCCGGGTAACAAGTAGCGAGTAGACCAACAACATCATAACATAAAGAGGGGGAGCCCCCTTCCATTTCGATCCTTCAAAAGGACTGCTATCCCTCAGTTGGGGCATTCGGACACGGGCAACAACACCGAACAGACTCGAAGTAAACCACACAGAATTGCAATGTCAAAGACTAACATAAGCTACAAACAAGTTTCAGGGCTGGCAGTCGGGACTGGCTTCCTTGTGGTGGGCTTTCCGACACGGGCAGCAACACCGAACGAACTCCGCGTGAGATACGATGGAAAGAACTATTATTGCCCATTGAAAAACCTACCTCTCGCCATCATCAGGTGTGCCTTTGGGGAACCGAGAATCAACTGAGCAAGCGAAGCTAGACTTGGCGTTACACTAGAAACACCCCATCTCTTACAACAACGTGGGTTTCCCCATATGGCATGGCTGAGTCAGCTGGGCTCAGAAGGGCTCGTCATTCGGACTCATCAGTGCTCGAGTCCGCCATTACTGCGTGTAATCGACGGCGACGGTGAGGTGGTCTGCGTGCTCTCTCCGGCGGCGGGTCCACTGTCGGGGGCCTTCCCCGGTCTGTTCATGTTGGACAAGGACTGTATCGGCCTGGCTGCTCGGGGATACGTCCCCGCTCATCTCCAGTTGCGTCGCGCTGGGCATCACTTGTTCATCTTCCAAGGAGTCAATCAGCTGGAAGGGGTGTCCCCAGATAGCTGTTGTCCACACTTCCAGGTTTGCATACGCCTTGGAGATAAGATCTGCAAGCTCTTGCTCTAGGAAGGGCAGCGCCTGTTTGAGGAGGCTCTGAGCACGAAGGATGGCGTAGGGGGTTGCTTCCCCCGTGCTGTGCGGTGTTCCAGAAACTTCTCGTTGTTGAGGTTGGTGACGTTGGAGGGGCGGCCTGAGGTCACCTTCGTGTTGTCCTTGATCAGGTAGTAGATGTACACCGCTGGTACGTCCTCGAAGAGCAGGATCTTCCGCATGTAGATCAGGTGGAGCATGTAGGGCATGTTGTGCAAACTGAGGTCGGTCGTTGCTCCCCGTAGGTCTTTCTCCTATTCTTTGCTTCTTCGGGGGGCTCCCCGTTGTATCCTCGAAGCGCTCTTGTAGCCATTTTATCAGGCCATCCATATATTGACGGCTCCTTTGGACTGCCTGAACCGCAATCAGCAGGGTCTCATCGATCTGCGCAAGGTTGCCTTCTTCCACGGCCAGGTCACCCCAGTCCAATGCGTCCAGTGCGTTGCGTACAGCTGCCATGCCCTCGTGCGCTCCAGGGACGTCTGGGTTCTTCCCCCAAGCTGCCAGCATGTGTTTGGTGTCACGCAGCAGCTGTTCAATCCTAGCCATCTCTTTCCTGAGATGACGCTGGGGAAGCCCCCCGTGATTTTGGTGAAGGTGCGTGAGGGTCGCTTCAGCCTCGATGAGGGGGTTGTCCATGGTGAAGACAGCTGCAGTGGGCGTTGGTATGGGGTCCCCCCCGGAAGGATGCGCCTGGCCATGGGCTTGAGCGTTCGTCATCCTCAGCTGCGTCAAGTAGTTACATGCTCTGTAGGCCAATATCGTCACCTCCTCATTTGGTTGCGTGAAAGACGCCTGCAGGAGGTCATACACCACCTTTGTGAGGGCTTCCATCACTTCGGCTGTTGTTTGGGGCGCAGCTTCCGGTATCCAGGACTGATCGCGAGCTCCTCGCGCATTGTTCGTTCCCGTACCGGGTGCGGATGCCGGGCTCGACCTTGACGTAGGTGTTGTCGACATTGCCATGTTTTGCATGAGGGAAGTGCTGTCCGCGAATTGCGGAGGGTCTCCCCCCTGTTCATCTGTCGGCGTCGTAGTGGTTATTGTCGTAGTGCCCGGCAGTCGTTGTTCTTCTTCTGGGGCCAGCTGTGGTTCTGGATCCTCGCTGGGCCAGCTTGTTTCAGACTCCGATCCCGAGTTCGTGTCGGACTGTGGTGGTAGAGGTGGTCTGGCTCTGAGTACCGTTGAGGGCAAAGGCTGCTGCGAGAACTCTCGGGAAAGTTCACCGCTGCCCGCCGGGGATGCAGTGGTTTGAGGGGTCTGCCCCCTATGATGTGTTGCCGCTGGCATAGAGGACGACGAGGATGCCTGCATGGAGGGTCTTTCCCTCGTGGATCTGGTGGGATATCCCGAGCGCTCCGGGGGTGTAGGCGGCTCCGGTGGCACTGGTTGAGGGATGCTGGCGAATCCCCCTAGCCTTTGAATGTCCCCGTCAAACCTTGGTCGACGGACCCATTCGCGCTTCGTGCCTTGCCATTCAAGGAAAAACTGGTCGCCTTCGCTCAGGGGTAGTTCCCCGGTGTCAACTGTATCTGGAGTCGACCCCACTGTGACTAGCCAGAACCGCGGGGTCCTGGCGAAACTCAACTCGAATCGAGTGACTCCGATCCATTCGCCCACCGGCTGCAGGGTAAGGGCAACCCCTGGGAATAGTGTTGGCCCGGATCTCCAAGCTGTACTCATGGTCTTGTAAGCGACCAGTGATGGCTCGTGACGAACTCGTGGTGGATGACGTACTGTGTCATGCTGCTGGGGGGTCCACAGGACCCCCCGCCAGGCTCCCGCTGCGGTCCCACGTGCTGTGAATAGGACATTGGGTGCTATAGGAATTGTAGTGGGCAGTGTGGGAGGCCCAGCTCCCTGCTGCCATGAGAGGTCAAAGCTAACATCCCCAACCCGGATTGTCGACCTCATACTTGACGACTCATCCTCAATATGCCATCTGGGGGCTCTCCCCTGTTGGATCGCTTCATCTGCTTCGGCTTCCAAGTCGGCAATGTCCGGCTGCTCCGGCGTAGTAGAGGGGGTCGACGAAGACGCTGCTGACGTCAGGTGTGGTGGTTGGAAAAAGAGCACGTCTCCCTCGGCATTGGGGTTGACTCTCCCCGGTGCATGCTGGTCAGAAACCTGTCCTCCACGGTCGCGGTAGTAGTCGGGCCTGTTGTCTACCACCTGAAGTGGGAGGTTGTTGGTGCCATCCAGCTGCAGTTGCGTCGAGGAGCTGTTTGATAACCGTCGCAGAACATGTTCGGTGCGAACTGGCTTCGGAGGTTCTTCACGGTGATCTCCTGGAAGGGAGAAGGACTCGGTTTTAGCCTCAGCCTTGAGCCTCGAACACCAGTGATGCATGCACTTGTAATAACCTGAGGACAGCTGTGCCATTCAGCACACCTGCTTCATACCGCATACAGTGCACTTGCAGATTTGCAGAGGGAGTGGCAATCTGCCCGTAGCAGGAGCGACAGTCTTTCGCGAGTTGGCCTAGCCTCTGCCTAAGCTCGACTCGAGATGGCGCCGCCTGGCCGAGCATCCTGGGAACTGCAAAGGTGTGGCCATCCAGGACGTGCCGTGGTCCTCTTGCTGGCGATCCTCGACACCTACCTCTTCCTCCTGCGCAGCTCGGTGCCCCCGGCCTCGCCTGATTCCGCAAGTGATTCGGACGTTCCCTTGGCCCCGCCAGAGGATCCGGAGGAGCCAGTCGATAGTGAAGACAATCCCCCATTGCCACGACTGGAAGATCCGGATGAAGTGACGGACTACCCGGTGGAACAAGCAACAGGGGGACCGCCCCTAGCCGAGCCACCTGGCCCGACTGACAAACCCAGACGCCCGCGGGCCAGTGCAACTTCAAGTGCAGTTAACATGCCTACAGCGACCTCGGCGAGCTCGTCCTCCTCCCCGCCAATGGCAACGACACCAGGACTTTATGGGGGACCTGGAATCCGCCCATTACACGATCCGAATCGAGCCCTACTACATGAGCATGCAGTACAACAAGGTCCGGGAGCCCCTCCGCTACACGATCATGCTCAGCCCCACGCAGTGAGCTCCAACCAGAATACCTACCCAATGGAATGGTCCGCCTGGGATGACGAGGGAGACGACACCTTTGCATATGCAGTGACCGACCCTACCGGGGGAGCTAGAGGTTCCAGCTCCAGTACGCCGTACTCGACGCAGAGTGTTGTACCGACGCCAGCCACGACCAGATTGGGATATGCAACCACGTACGACCCGGCAACAGACCCCTGGCATGAAGAGGGACTACTAGATCAAGGCGAGTTGAATAACGTCGCCCAAGGGCAGCTGCAGGCGCAGCGCAATCTTGGAGTTCGTCAAGGGGGACACGTCAAGGGGGACAACCTCAGCAGTACCAACCGTACTCTCAACAGCACCAGCAGCCTCCGCTGCCCCCTCAACGACAGTCACAACCTCAACGTCTCCAACAACAACAACTGGCCCCGCGCCAAGAGGTTTATCCACCGGTCAAGCAGCCACCACCATGGCCACCGACGACCCCGCAAGGACTACCACATCAACCACCAACTCAGCAATTGGATGTGCCGGGCCCAGTGCGGCCAAATGCTCTACAACCTGGCGATGTCGACCCGCCATCGATGGATACATGGGGTACGCTGGCTAGAGCACTGGCCGACGATGGCCCTCTGCTCCCGCCTCACCAATGGGCCCATAACAATGCACTGGGGCTACAGCCTCAACCTCAACCACCACAACCTCCATTGCTACAGCCTCTACTACCTCAGGACGAACTGCACTCAGCGCAGTCAAGTGCCGAAGCACAACTACCACAACCAGGCCATGAAGATGACGGCATTACAACAAGCATCCAGAATGCAGACGATCCACAAGAGCCCGCACCACGTGATCACTCGACTCCTCTTCAAGAAGTTACTGGCTCTTCGACGTGCAACCAGGAGGCGAACGATCCACCACAACATGAACAACCTGATTGCTCACCCCATCTACAACAAGAAGCCGAGACAGGGACGAGCGACACATGCCAGAACTTGCCGTCGACCCAGGGAGAGTGCCCTGGTCCAGACCCCCAACACCATGAAGGCGATCAACAACCGCCCTCAGCGCATGGGGAAACAAACGAGGCAGCCCTGGACACAGAAGACGATGGCGAGTGGATCCATATTATCCAAGAAGATGAGGGGGACACCCCTGCGGATGGAGACGAAGACGATTGGATAAGTGACGTCAGCGACACTGAGGAGGAGGAGGAGGAAGCAGCCCCGCCGCAGTCTTCTGCCACATCGGGGACCGGGGGAAACCCCAAGAAGCGGCAAGCTGGCCATGGAAGCCAGAGGGTGAAGAACAAAGCCAAGAAGTCGGACATAAAGCGGCTTTGGCAAGAGGCAGGATGGGCACCTAAACCCCCGTGGCTGACGTGGAAAGCAGCCCTGGAATGGTGGAAAAAAGGGGAGCAGCCCCCTCGAAAGAGACCAATCTCGAGTCCGGGGGAGCGTGCCAAGTTTGCTGCACTCTTGATATACCCGTGACGACCAGGGGAACATTATTCCCCCTACAGGCCCTATGGCATCAAGTTCCTCCTCTACGCTACCTACTACCAACTCCGACGAAGCGCGCGAAGGAGGAACCTCAAGGGGAACTGCCCCTGCCAGCCAAGGGCATCGAGACGGAACTGTACATGGAGATCACGATCATGCGACCCCAGCAGTCCACATCCCAATGGAGCTTGGAGACAAAGCCGCTGCCCAAGCAAAGCAGGACCATCAACAACGGCAAGCGTCCAACCCATATTTGCATCAAGTACCTCAGCCCCGGCGACCAACAGAAGTCCCGCAGCAGCCACCGCTGACTTCGAGCCCACAACGGCCACATGATGCACAACGACCGCCACCTCAGCCAGAGCAAGACTCGTTGCCGGGTACATCGCAACAGCCTGGGGCAAGAAGGGTTCTCTCTCTCTCTCTCTCTCTCTCTCTTCTCTTTCCGCGTGTTGCAGCTGAGCGCCCGCCTCCAAGCTGGGCAGAAAGGCGCTCATGAACTCTTTGTTTTCTTCGGCGGGGAAATTCGATCACTCATCTTCTGAAGTACTATGCAGGTCAGGCTTCCCAAGGCACGCCTCGTCCCCGTAACGAAGTCCCCGAAAAACCCTGCAACATCGACTGCTGGCCTCTGCATCCTCAGCAGACGCACTCCCGAGCAGCGCATTGCGCTAGCTGTTTCCCAGGCCCCTTGCACCACGCAAGCCTGGGACTCTTCGTGTCCTGGCCCACCTTTCTAGCGGGAATCAAAAGCTTGTTGTATGCAAACATGCGAAGCCATGCTTGCTTCCACGGCCCCTCGATGAGCCATGACTTTTTTGAACCTGTTTGTTTTTTGTGTTTCCTGCGCCTACGCTTGCGTTTGCACCACTAAGCAGTGCCAAGCAGCCCACCGCGAGGCAAGCTGACAGATCTTTCCCGCTATACAAAGGCACAGCCAAAAGAGAAGATCAAGGCACAGAACACAATATGACTGATCAGCCAAGGCTACTTCGGAACATCTTGGAACGTATTATACAAAGAAGCATTGCGCATGTCAGCAAGCCAATCGGAACAAGCTAGACCCTTTACCCCAAGAGACCCTTTACCCCAAGAGGCCGAGCATCATGATTCGCCGACGTGTTCATCATCACCTCGCTCGCTGCAAAGTAGTCGAAACTTGCGGTGTTCATGCTGAGCGCCCATGGCTTCGAAGCAGTGGCACTAGAGGGAACGCAGGGGCCGGTACATGTGTACACACACGTATCATGTGCATGAGCAGCATAAGGCAGGCAGAGCAGAAGCAGCAGCAGAGAACCTAACTTGTTAGGGAAGGTACTCGGCTAACCCCGGCCGGCCGCTCTTTTTTGATTATGAATTTGACTTTCATGCATCTTTTCTTCCATCGCAGCTCATCGAGCTTCTTGTGGCGGCAACTCGCTCATCAATGTTAACATGACTGCATTCAATTCTGAATTTCTTGTTTTCTTATTGGGGTCTTGACTCTTTTCATGTGCACCTCTCGCCAAGCTGCAAAGCTTGCCCGCGGCCACCACGTGAAGGTAGTGCACAAGGATTCAAAAACTTGGTACAATTCTCGATTTGTGCGTGTCATCCTTGCGCAAGGGCCATGCTACTCTTCTCTGTATCGTTCCAACTTTTTATCGGATGATCCCAAGGAAAGCCTACACTAATCAATGAATGAATGAATGAATGAATGAATGAATGAACGAACGAACGAACGAATGAATGAATGTAAATATATGAACACCTGAATGAAAGAGACATCGAAATGCAAGTGCCGCGAGTACTACAACGACTCCCTTTCAGCAAAGAGCATACACTTAGATGAAAAGATGAATGACTGATGTTTCGAAACGTGGTTTAAGGCAGGAATACCTCGACCCCAACGGCGCCCAGCATCCGCCTGGAATATGTGTATATGTAGAGTTTATGAATAAACGAATGCACTTGGAATATGTGCATAGGTACAAACATAAAAGAATATTAGGGTTCAGGGGTGAGGGTTTTTTTTCCCTCCTACATAGCAAGGGGTCAGGATTTAGGGTTTAGGGACCCCTACAGCGCCCAGCATTCACTTGGAATATGGGGAGCAAACGGTGTTCCTGTTGATTTATCGCTCGATATATTCCAAGTGGGGTTCAGATTCCAAGTGCAAATGACGGGTCATTTGGAATATGTTTACACGCGTGTGACCTCAACAACACACATGGAACAACGCAATTTTGCAAAAAACAAGGAACAATATTCCATGTGCTGGCCGGTAAGTATAATCAGAATAGAACATGACACGCATACAATAATTATGAGATAAGATAGCTATCATATAACATAATGTAAAGTATATACGACGTAATACAAAATACGTAGTGACTACTAATCTCCGACCCAAGGCAAAAGGTTGCTCCTGGGCGGCTCAGGGTCCCTGCGAAGGTGACTTCGTACCTTCAGAGCACGACTTGGCCATTCGGGGAGCTTCTCTTGTCTTGAGCTTAGGGTCTGACAGGGACATTGTGCACACAACCAAGCTGCAAGGTGTATGTAGCTCTGTAGGCAGTGCCATAATGAGTCCACACCCATATTCTATCCTCGAGGCTCTGGGTCTCGTCTTTGATGAAATCCTCAGCTGTGGGCAAAAAGACAAGTGGCACAACTTTGGCGCAAGTCACGCAATCCTTGCTACGTATTCGGGCATGCACCCAGCAGGTGCCAAAACATCAAGACACATGCCTGCTGAGAGCAGGGTCATGAACATGAGCCCATTGGCCGTACCCCGAAGTGCTGCGAGCATGTCCGAGAAGTGGCTTGGCACCACGAAGTACTCTGCGTTCTAGATAACTTGTAACGTGTCGAAAAACGCAGTTGAAGCTCTCACGGCAATCCGACAGAACGGTGTCATATACCTACACGTGATCATGGCATTGTGCCGACTCAGGGCCCAAGGTGCCTGCAGCAAGTTTCCCAAAATTAGGGCTCCCATACACATGAAGACAGCCAGCAGCACCTGAGCTGCTCTCACGAATCAGGCATCAAAGCCCAACACGGATTTGTCACTGTGACTCCTTCCGTTGATTCCGCACAGGACGTCAAGCTTCCGGCTTCGGTTGGTACGGTGTCGCGAAAGGTTCAAGAACCTAATATCAACAACAACGACGACGACGAAAACAACAGCCACATTGACAAAAACAAACACTCAGAGCAACAATAATAACAACACATAACAGCTAGAACGAGAACAGCCACAACAACAACAACAGCAGCAGCAGCAGCAACACCAGCAGCAGCAGCAGCAGCAGCAGCAAACCACAGCCGTCACGGCATCAGTAACGGATAACATCTTGTGGAAATAGTACTGGTCGCGATAAATGCTTTAACTTCAACACAACTGCAGATCTTTGCAAGCTGTGGTGCCATGGACCAGCAAAGCGAGGGAAGGCAGCACTGGCAGGCCTTCGGAAGAGATGACAAGGCAATTGGTGGGCTGTGGGCATCTTTTCTGCCACCTCCTTCCACGGCAAGGTCGAGCCCCGGCCAAAGCTGAGCTAGCCGACTCTGTGATGACAAGGTGGATTGATCGGGGCTTAGTCTTGCGATTCGGATTGTGCCAAAAGCCGAGAATTTATGGTGCTTCACCCCCCCTCTGGTTGCATGGAGCTAAACACCTCAACTCATGTATCTTCAGCATTGAAACTTCATGGACGCGGGTGCTCTTGCTGCGACGGCCACTGTTCGCCGCTACATTCGCAAGTTTTTTCTTTCACATCCGATTTGCGTTGCACAAAATTCAGCGACTGGAAAGTTAGGAGAAAGACGTGACAGGCTAGTATCGGCTTGTACCAGAAAGACCCGCGGTTTGGCAAATGTGGGAAAGCCCAGACCTCAAGTAGACTCAAAGAATCGATTCAGCCTAAAGCCTGCCCTGCCTTACGTAGATCAACTTGTCAAGAAATCAAGCAGGAGGCTGTTCACGGACACATGCACATGTCCACCGTCGCTGCACGGATGTCATGACAAAGATGAAACAAAGCAGATATCACGAAAGCATTCCAGCAATTACAGTGACGCGACAACGGTCACGCAGGAAACATTTGGCCGACGACGAATGATGCGATGGAGCGCACTGTGGCCCCCTAAGCTACACTCACCTGTTCGGGCAACCAAGCCTTGACGAGCATCCGCAAGCCGCGGAAGAATCGAAAGGACCGCACCATGCGGATGGCCCTGAAGGCCTGCGATGCATCTACAGCAGATCCAACGGTTGCGAAACCCGGAACCTTCACAGAAAACATGGCGATCTCAGGCTCGTCTATCGGGCGGCCAGATCCACCCACTATTTTCTACAAGCCCAATCCTCAACCGAAAGCCGGACTTCTGCGACGTCACCCTTTTCTCGACGCATCTAGCCTCGTAAAGGGCCCATGGTGATAAGGCCCATGTAGAAAGTCCGGAACATGAATATCAGCAGTGATGAGTACTCATGATCAACAACCTACAGTAGTCATAATACTGGCCAGGCCGACCTTTAGAGCTGTCACAAAGCGCAACGTCACGGCGTCCTTCAGCGGAGGAAAAGGATGTCTGTGTGTGCTTGTGCTCGGAGTATGAGGAGCGACAAAACTAGAAGACCGTGTTTTTTGTCCACCTGTCAGCCAATGCCTGAATGCCTATACAGATAGGTTCGTACATCGAAAGGTAGTCCTGCTTGGGTTACAAACCTCATGTTGCGAGCGGTTCATGCACATGTAGGCAACCCAAATACCATTGCGCTTGTCACAATGAGTTCTGATACCACTAGCTACTGCTACTACACGCCTGCATAGTACCAATGCTGTTCATGCTGCCAGCATGGTTCTCGATATCATCTTGTTGGCAAGAGGGGTGGTGGTGATTGTAGCAGCAGCAAGTCGCCCCACGTCCCCACGGTCTCACCATCATGCCAACACAGGCATGCGGCTATGGCAAAATCAAAAGCTTGGCATAGAGCACCAAACTCTATCAAGGTCAGACAGTAGAGCATGGAAGCCGAATGAACGTCGCACTGTCGAACCATAGGGAATAAGAAGCTTTCTTGAGCTGAACCGCCAGACCAGTAGTACTACTAGCACTGCCAATGCTCGTTCTTCTGTTATTACTAGTACTAGTAACTAGTCTGCTACTGTTACTACTACTACTGTTGCTGTTGCTGCTGCTACTACTACTACTACTACCACCACCACCACTAGTACTCCTGCTACTACTGCTGCTGCTGCTACTACTGCTACTACTACTACTACTACTACTACTACTACCATCTTGGCTGACTAGACGGAGAGGCCCTCCAAGTGTAGGATTCGTTCTTGGTGTGCCATTGGCGACTGCGTATC